CATTTACTTACAAATATATTTTTCTTAAAACAAGTAATAGCTAAAGATTTTTTCTTTTCAAAATTTGTACTTAAATTATAGTTTATTAATCCTTAAATTAATAACTAACCTACATAGTTAGAAAATTTTGCATGAAATAAATACATTTAAAAATACTATGTGTCTTTATTATTAATCCTATTAATTGCAACTCAGATTAGTTTGATTTAAATTTATTTTTAATTCTTTGTAATTCCTACATGTTTTTTAATGTTTATCTAACAATTATTTAACCTAACAATTTAAAAATTTGTGTACTAAACCTATCTAAATAAAAATTAATTTCCTTTTTAACCTCTTTCTAATTTAAAGATTTGTTTGAAACTATTATATAAACTCCACTATGAAATTTTGATTTCTTCAATTTCCACTATAAAATTTTGATTCCATCTGAAACAAATCAAACTACAAAGAATTAGTAAAATTTTATACAATATAATTTTGATAAGCTTATTTTTTCTTTCATTAATGTATCTAAAATAAACTTAGTTTAGATTAATAATTAAAAAGAATTAATTCTTCAGATAATTTATATCTGAAGAAAAATATATTAAATATATATAATAATGAGTAATAAAAATTGAATAAAACTAAATTATTATTGCTTAAATTAATTTTAGAAAAATAAAAAAAAAATTTATTATCTGAATCAAAATTTTGAAAATCAAAAACAGAAATATTTAATAGTTAATTAAATAACTCATAAATTGAAAACTTTATATTGAACTTTATATTGAATATCAAAATGGAAAAAAAAATAAGTGAAATTATTTATGGTTCCTTTAACTTTACCATAAAAAACTATAAAACTTTTTTGCATCAATAAAAATATAATTATAGCTGCATTTTTATAACAAAGGCAATATGAGGCACTGAAAAAGAAATCAATTTAGTAGTTAGAAAGGCCTCTAGAAGATAAATATTTTTCACTCAATACTGAAACTGTGAGTGGAATATTTATTTTGTATCATTGATAAAAAAAAAAATAGAAAAATTCGTAGAAACAATTAATTATATGCGTGATATTAATATATTATTTTATGCACTCAAATTTCAATAAGTGCAATATATAATATATATATATAGCGAAATATCCAATGCAGTTTGCTTAACAACTGCTGTTGTACGGTCACCCATGTAGCATTTTTAACTACACCAAGTGATTCAGGAACAAAAATTTCCACAATAGAAATGGAAAATTGGGCATTCAATATTCGCAACACTACTTGAACGCGATCATTTTTCAACGCAACACTAATTGAAAAATAATAAAAACAATCGCGGTGAAACAACATTGTTATACTAATTCTTAAAAAAAAAATTTTTAAATCATTACTTTTCGACTACGATTAAAAACAATTGATCAAAAATAAATAATATTGATTGTAATATTATTAAAAATTATACAATTTATATTTAATAAAAAACGCGATGTCTCACGATTCGCAATACTAATACTATACGCGATTCTAATTTTAACGCAACACTAATTCAACCCGTAATTATTTTTCGCAACACTAATTATTCAAAACGCGAGATTTGTAAACACAATTCTATTCAATCCGTAATTAATCAATCATAATTCTATATATAAATCGCGATGCCCATTATGATTGGATTCGGTGAGCCAATAAATTGCATGCAAATCGGCCGTACGATACAACATTTACTACATATTACTAAAACGAGCATAGTGACAAAATAGTAACAATGACTTCCCATCCTTTGGACCCAAAAAACAGATCCAAAAGATGAGAAGCCATTCGTTGCAGCCCCTCTTCGCGACAGTTTGTCGAGGCCTCTTCGGTCTTCCTCCTTCGGGCGCAATGCCCGCTGAAACTTAAATCTAGGCTCGAGATTCACTAGTCGCAAACAAAAGAAAAAAAAAAGGCTAAATCGCGGAAGCTAAATGCACATGAACGATCGTAATGATCGTACACGCACAGAATCTCGAGTTCAACGTTCGATTCGAATTTATCTCGCGACCACGGAATTCGAAAACTCGAAGCCAGAAGAAGAACAGCATTCTCTGCTTTACCTTCGATTTTTCGAACTCGATTTCCTGAAACAGATTGC